ACACTCACCAGCACCAGCACCAGCAGCAGTATGAAAACGCAACGGCGTATGAAAACCCCACCACGGCGTACCGCACGCATAACATATTCGACCTATCTGTTTTCAGCGCATCGTCTACCGCTTCCTCAGCATTTCCAACAAACTTTTTCTCTTCCTCCACCACCACCAACAAAGGGAGTCAGCTAAGTAGCGTACACGACGCTTATCAACAACACCCATTCGACTCTACCCTCCCAGCGATAAACAGTGGGATGTGCTACGACCCTCCTTCTCCTTCCTCCCCTCAACTCCCTCCCTCGTCCACCACGAACCTACCACCATCATCGTTCCACCCTGCCCACGCCCATCTAACATGACACACACGCTCACCAGCATCCCGCTCCTGCCCCAGATCACGTCCTCCCTCCTCCAGCTCTGCTCCTTTCCCACCGTCATCCGCCGCAAATGGGTCAGGCGGTATGGGGCCTGCGACGACGACTAGAGCCACAAGTATACATAGATGTCGCTATAGTACCATAACAATAGAAATTGACAATTGTCCCAATAAGTCATAGGGCTACCCCAATGGGCCCAATACACATGGACACTATGGATCCATACCTGGGACCAATGGATGTTTACAGCATATGGTATTAATGTGTGGCCCAATGCATATTCTGCAGATGTGGTTATTGCCATAATCAATGGTACCATAGGTACCCAAAGTATAATCTACAGAATGGCCAAATGTTGGGCCACATGCATTCAAGAGATCACCCGAAGCATTGACATGCTGACTGCAAGTGCTCCGAAAATGCGACTGAAAAAATGTCCGGATTTGTGGTTGCCATGTTGGATGTCACTGCCCCAAATATGCGGCTGAAGAAAGGTCCGGATTTGTCACTAGTATGCAGAATACCAGTGCTCCAAAAATGCGGCCGAAAAAATGTCCGGATTTGTGATTAACTCAGTTAATGTCACTGCTCCGAAAATGCGGCCGAAAAAAACATCCGGATTTGTATTTAAGATGCTGAATGTCATTGCCCCAAAAATGCGGCCGAAAAAATGTCCAGAGTTGTAGTTGACTGGGTAAATGTCACTGCTCCAAAAATGCGGCCGAAAAAACATCCGGATTTGTATTAGTACAACACTGTCCGAAATTTCAGATGTAATTTTGACAGGCGCCAGACAACCCCCGTGGAATGCTTCAATGCCTGAAATTTAGAACTTCAAGCACCCGAAAATGCGGCCGAAAAAACATCCAGATCCGTATTTAACATGCTGAATGTCATTGCACCGAAAATGCAGCCGAAAAAATGTCCGGATTTGTGATTAACTTGGTGAACGTCACTGCTCCGAAAATGTGGCCAGAAAGACATCCGGATTTGTATTAGTGCACCAATGTCCGAAGTTTCGGATGTAACTTTGACACAGACCAGACAGCCCCCCCATGGATTGCTCTGAAGTCCGAAATTTTTTAAGTTATTTCCATCCAGATATAATCATCCCCGTAGACTGCACCAATGTCCGAAATTTTGGATGTAATTTTGACAGGGGCCAGACAACCCCCATGGAATGCTCCAATGTCTGAAATTTATACTTCAAGTACCCGAAAATGCGGTCAAAAAAACATCCGGATTTGTATTTAACATGCTGAATGTCATTACCCCGAAAATGTGGTTGAAAAAATGTCCAGAGTTGTAGTTGACTTGGTCAATGTCACTGCTCCGAAAATGCGGCCGAAAAAAACATCCGGATTTGTATTTAAGATGCTGAATGTCATTGCCCCAAAAATGCGGCCGAAAAAATGTCCAGAGTTGTAGTTGACTGGGTAAATGTCACTGCTCCAAAAATGCGGCCGAAAAAACATCCGGATTTGTATTTAAGATGCTGAATGTCATTGCCCCGAAAATGCGGCCGAAAAATTGTCCGGAGTTATAGTTGACTGGTTAAATGTCACTGCTCCAAAAATGCGGCCGAAAAAACATCCGGATTTGTATTTAAGATGCTGAATGTCATTGCCCCGAAAATGCGGCCGAAAAATTGTCCAGAGTTGTAGTTGACTGGTTAAATGTCACTGCTCCAAAAACGCGGCCAAAAAAACATCCGGATTTGTATTAGTACAACACTGTCCGAAATTTCAGATGTAATTTTGACAGGCGCCAGACAACCCCCATGGAATGCTTCAATGCCTGAAATTTAGAACTTCAAGCACCCGAAAATGCGGCCGAAAAAACATCCAGATCCGTATTTAACATGCTGAATGTCATTGCACCGAAAATGCGGCCGAAAAAATGTCCGGATTTGTGATTAACTTGGTGAATGTCACTGCTCCGAAAATGTGGCCAGAAAGACATCCGGATTTGTATTAGTGCACCAATGTCCGAAGTTTCGGATGTAATTTTGACACAGACCAGACAGCCCCCCCATGGATTGCTCTGAAGTCCGAAATTTTTTAAGTTATTTCCATCCAGATATAATCATCCCCGTAGACTGCACCAATGTCCGAAATTTTGGATGTAATTTTGACAGGGGCCAGACAACCCCCATGCAATGCTCCAATGTCTGAAATTTATACTTCAAGTACCCGAAAATGCGGTCAAAAAAACATCCGGATTTGTATTTAACATGCTGAATGTCATTACCCCGAAAATGTGGTTGAAAAAATGTC